TTACTCGCTCTAACTACAACTTCCCAATCGGAGGTCAAGTTTAACCAACAACTGAGTGTACCATAGGGTAAGCAAGTAATAAAATTATCGAACCATAGGTCTCTAGATGTACCTTACTTCGGCTTAAGTTTTGTAGTCTAGCCAACCTAGAATAGTGATTAAGCTAACTAACCTAACTACACTACCCTAGTTAATAAAAGGTTTGGATCTCTATTAGCATGGATGGAACCGCCTAAGGCTGAGTTGGGAGAGGATATCACAGTCTGGAGGATGGAGAAAGATGTAAGGTTCAGACTCCAATATGCCTACCTGCTGATTATGGAAGAAATCGAGGAAGATCTGCAAGATTCTTAGGACAACATTTGGCGTTGGAAAGGACCAAATCGGGTGAAGCTCTTCCTTTGGTTGGTATCAAACAATAGGCTTATTAAAAATGCAGAAAGAAAGAAGAGGCAACTGACAAAAAATGGAAACTGCAAGTTCTGCACCAATGAAGAGGAGACTGTTGAGCACATTCTGTGCAGATGCAAAAAGACAACAGGGATATGGGCGCACTTCAAAGACAAGGTCACCGCAGACAAGAATGATTTAGAGTTCTAGAAGTGGATCAAGGACAATATCAAGGATCACGATGCTGGAATCGACTTCGACATCATTTGTTGGTTGCTTTGAAAGCAACGTAACGAGGAATTTATGGATAGAAAAGTCTACAACAAGGAGAGACTCATCTACAAGATCAAGGCATGGACTAAAATTTTCTACCAAGCGCAAAAAAAATGAGAGAAAGACCATCAACCCCAATTTGATGACCTCACAGAGGAAAGATATTGGTTAGAGCCCTCCACGACAGGAATGGAACAACTCCAAATTGATGGGTCGGTGTGCCCTGGCACAGGCAAAGCAGCTGTCGGAGGTCTTCTTAGAGATTGGCTTGGACGTTGTGATGTTGCCTTCACCTGCAATTTAGGCACATACTCTATCACAATACAATAGCTTAAAGGATCCAAAGTTGTCCTTGATATTGCTTGACAGAAGGGATATAGGAAGGTAGAGTTAAACTTAGACTCCACTACTGCTATCAGGATTATTAATAACTGGAAGGATAGAAACCACCTCCATGGAATGATTGTGACGAGACTTGGATCACTTTTGGACCGTGAATGGGAGGTTAATATTAATTGTTATAAACGCGCTGCTACGGATCGGGAAATCGTCGGAATCGACAAAGCAAGAATACGAAAGCGAAAATCGAAAAACACAGACACACGATTTACGTGGTTCACTAACACGATGTGTGTTAGCTAGTCCACGGGCGAGAGAGAGCCAGTTTCACTATATCGAGGAGATTACAGATTACAGAGGAGTATGAGAAGTATTTATAGTACTTCTCCATGTGGGTCTAAACCTAATCCAATATGACAAAGGAAACGGTTACAGACCAGGCCCAGAACTCGAACCCAAATAACATTGAGACCCCCGATTACCATTCGTAGCGGCTGATAGTCCGATTCAAGTCACATCAACAAATCTCCACCTTGACTTGAATCCTCTTCCTCTGAAATCTCTGATGTACTCTGCTCCTTCTCTCTCTCCCGCCATCAATGCCCCGTAGGGCGGAGTCACCCACTCAAGACATTCAGCAAGTCCAAGCAGTGTTGGAACTTGCCATGTGGAACCGGCTTCGTGAACATATCAGCAGGATTATCCGCGGTGCCAACCTTCTTCACCTTAATCCTCTTCTCTGTCCTCAAGAAATGATACCTCACATCGATGTGCTTAGTCCTCTCATGGTGGACTTGATCCTTGGCCAAGCATATTGCACTCAAACTGTCGCAATACACCACTGCCTGATCATGATGTAGACCCAGATCACCAACCAGTCCCTTCAACCATATTCCCTCCTTAGAATCTTCTGTCAACGCCATATATTCTGCCTCAGTAGTAGACAATGTCACCGCCGACTGCAGAGTTGCCTTCCAGCTCACTACAGAACTCCCAAGAGTAAATACATAACCGGTCATCGATCTCCTCGTGTCAACATCTCCAGCATAGTCTGAGTCAGAATACCCAGACACCAAGCACTCTGTATCACTTCCGAAGCTAATCCCCACATCAGGTGTACCCTTAAGGTACTGGAAGATCCTCTTCACAGCCTGCCAATGCTCCTTCCCAGGTTGTATCATAAACCTGCTGACAACACTAACAGCATGTGCAAGATCAGGTCTAGTGCATACCATAGCGTACATCAAGCTACCTACTGCACTAGCATATGTGACTCTCGACATGTACTCCTTCTCAGCCTCTGACTGCGGTGCATAAGCTGATGATAGATGAACATTTGAAGCACTAGGAGTATTTAAGGGCTTTGCTGAAGACATGCCAAACCTCGACAGTATCTTCTGGATGTAGCTCTTCTGTGACAAGAAAAGCTTCTTCTTCGACCTGTCCCTGTAAATCTCCATACCCAAGATCTTCTGAGCAGTTCCCAAATCCTTCATCTCAAACTCAGCACTGAGAAGCCCCTTTAACTTCTGGATATCAGACTTTGACCTCGTAGCTATGAGCATAGTTTAACGTCCCTAGCTCGACGTTGTGGATCCTTCATGCTTGTGAGCACTAGGCCTCCGAGAGTGGATCCGCCACAGTTTCGAGGTGAGGCTTGTCACCTTCCATCTTAAGCTCCAAAGGATGGCACTCTTGGCCGGGTACATTCGCTTTACACTTGTCCTTCTTTTGGGTAAAAGCACAGCTCATCTTCTCACTCCAAGCTTTACTTTCTTTTCCTTCGGGTTTGGTACCATCCTTAGGTCCCTGTTTCACATCATCACAAGGAGCAAGAGCACTAGTGGGCTTCGCATTGAGTGGCTCACCTCCACTTCCAAGCATACCATTCTTTTCCATTCTTTAACATCATCATGCTCACCCTCAGGGTCAATCGAAAAAGTAATTTGGTGCTCCCCATCTCTCAAGATCAATGTGCCCACATTAACATCGATTAAAACCTTGGTGGTGGCAAGGAAGGGGCGTCCTAGTATGAGGCGCATATTGGCATCTTCACTTATGTCAAGGATAATAAAATCCGTGGAATAATAAAAAGTTCCCACCCGCACTAGATTATCCTCTACAATGCCTCTAGGACTAATCAGAGAACGTGATATGATCCCAAATCGGTGAATCAACGAGCCAAAATTACTTGACGAAGAAGCTATCGAAGTTGGGAAGAAGAAAGGCAGAATTTGGCTTAGTTATTTTCAGAGTTCATGGTACCTACTTTGGAGGCATGGTTCTCTAAATTGGCTCAATGGAAATTCAAGATTAATAGCTTGTATTGATTATGGAGTGATTATCTACACATTGGTATGCTTGTAATCTCAAGGGGAAGTCTAGTGTTGGTGCTTAGTTTCGAGAAGAATTTGTTAGAAACCGACGGGCTGGAGTGGCCGACTCGGCCGAGTGAAAGGGAGTGGCAGTTTGGTTATTTTGGTTATTTCTGTTTAGTATTTAAGATGTGAGAACAGTATTATTTCAAATAGTCAATTATCAACTATTCAATCAAAATTCCTAAATTCTCAATTCTCTCTCTCTTGTTCTTCCTCAATCTCTTCAAAATTCCTAATATCTTCTCTTCTCAATCCCTAATTCCCCTGTGGAACTTCTTTGTTTCTAACAAAATCATGGCCAAGATTTGGAATGTCGGATAGCGCGTCTAGTCACGAAGCTCTCACAAAGTTCAAATAAAGTGGGTCTTTGAGTGACTATCTGTTTACGTTTGCGAGATGGGTTATCAATGCTATGGATGGGCGAAAGAGGTATTGGTGGATCAAATATGAAAATTTTCATGCAATCCGCATGTTCAACCGAGAAATTGTGAGGCAGGCCATTCAATTTGCCAAGGTGAAGAACGAATAATTGACAAATTATCAAGCAGTGCAACAAAATCCACTACGAGCACCAATGAAGGCGGTGGTCGAACCACTACGAGGAGCACCTCGAATGGCATCATCGCGCAACTCCAATTCTCTAAGGATGTCACCGGACAAAGTAACACGACGAAGGGAAAAAGGACTCTGCTTCTATTGCGATGAGTGCTTCACGATTCACCATCCCTCTGCCAATAAAAACGTGCTACTTATGATTGGCCCATGCGACGATGAAGAGGAAGGTCAATTCATCCATTAAGATAACTAACCTTGAGGACAAGGTTACGCTTAAGGGTGGAGGATTGTTTCGAGAATCAAGTCATCGCAATAATTAGGAAATTTTTGGCTTGTGTATATTTTAGTAATTAGTTGGTATTTTATTATTATTTGGGATATTAGTCATATTTGTAGTTTTCATTGTTCTAGTAGGATTTGAATTACCTTTTGCTATTTGTTTAGTATTAGATTATGGTTTCCTTATTATTTTGGGTAGGAAAAAATGAGAGTAAGAGCGGAATCCAAGGAGAGAAGGAAAGACATTTTGAGGTCATTCTGTCTATAAATATGTACTTGCTCATTCGTTTGATGTCAGATTGAATATTGAAATTCCAAGTAGTTCTAGAGTTTTAGTCCTTTCAACACAATTCTCTTCAATCTAACTCTATTTCTTTCATTTACGGTTCAATTATTATGACGTAAATTGCTAAGGAAATCCTATTGAAGAAATCCTCGTCACATAGTATTTTTCTATTTCAATTAAAAATCCCATATACTAGACCCCAAACAATAGACAATTTTAGTGATATAAAACGATTGAACCACAATTTTAATACAAAATGAAAATACCCTATCATTAACTTTTCCAATATAGCTTATACTCCGGTTTCACTCAACTATATAAACAAGAGAAAGGGAGGACATTGCTCCCTGCAAATTCCCCAATCGTTCTTGCCGCCTTCTTCCTTTTTTCAACCCTGGTTGCAAACTCTAGCACTATGAAAGTCCAAAAAGAATTTTTACATACATTTGTAACTGAAATGTCATCTAAGGGCCTTCTTGGCTTATCTTGGACAAAAAAAAAAAGTCATCTAAGGTACACAAAAGGGTTCAATACATATGATCTTCCGGATCCTAATTGGCAATTAAAGCAAAATTACTTTGCAAGTGAACCATCATTTTCTGGAACTCTGTAATCTGTAAGTGACAAGCATCATTTTGAGAGCCAATAGATGATGAGAAACAACGTACAAGCTGCAATTACAGCTGAGATAATAAGAGTGTCTCTCGAACGGCGCCTCTTGATAGAACCTTGAAGAGAAAGAAATGGGTAATGCGTTAACCAAAAGAAAGGTTGAGCTAGTATCCAGAAATAGAGAAACTTGATCCGCAGAGATGGGTAAAATACCAAGTAAACCACGTATGATTGGGAACTTGTCGCTTAGCTGTTTCACTTTGCCTTGAACATCTCCAAGCATAGACCTTTGAGTCCCCAAGACTGCTCTGGTTGCCTGAGCTTGACTAATAACATCATCTATCTGCATACATGAGAGCATAGAAACCTTGTGGATCAGTACAAGGCTAGAAGGTCCAAACAGCAGAAAGCTGAAAACAAATTTAAATCCTCAAGTTTGTGCATTCCCAGCACGATAATCATTCCACAGCCAGTGTAGGGTCTAAGAGCATTTATCCCAGTAGCTCACAATCAGATAGATGATTCGAACACTTCCTAGTAAACTATGAGAGTTCATGTTTAACACAGTGATTCATAACAAAAACTCATTACATGTGAAATGTTTCCATGTATGGCAGCTCTTTCACGTAATAGTTGCATTCTTGGGGACATGCTTCCAGAAGCCTGCACAAAAGGAAGGAGAACTCTACTTTCAGAACCGATGATAATTTTAGTTCTTTACATGTGAACTGAAAGCATGATGATTAGAAGACCCAGAAAACAACGAAGATATTTTTTTAATCTCACCTTGTACTCGCTTATATCATCTCTGACTGATATAAGTAATTCAGCGTGCTCCTTCATTGAGTTTATGTTTGCCTTGATTCGTCTGAATTCCTATAGTGAAATTATTGACTATTAGCAGTAGTTACCCAAAATATTAATAAGCGCAGCATTTGGAGTGGGGATCTCTAGAATTCAAGCATAATGAGAAAGCAAGAGAAAATATTAAATGCATTCAAGAAAACACACGATCTGTGAAACATCCCAGTCAATAACCACCAAAACTTTTCCTTTGAAGGAAATCGTTCGCTCAAATTGTTATAGACAACCAATAGTCAAGAACGGACTGGAAACATGGTCAATTTACTAAGCAAACTTCTCTTGCCCACATCCTAAAGAGCAGGAAACAGTGCTCGGCGATATCTTAATAGAAAAAAAGTGACAGCTGTTTCTCCCAAGGGCTTCATAGAAATTCTTTTGAGACAGTAATCTATCCAGATATTAGCACTCGTATATTACTCCTTATTGAAACAGACAGGAACACATTGAAGCGGTAATAAAATTCTAAAGGAAAGACCCAACCATCCAGTAAATTTTCCATTCTAAGCTTGCAAATGTAGTTGATCTTTTATGGAAAAGGCTAGAAAACAACAGAAACCAGAAAAGGAGATGGCAAACCTGAGTAAACTCATGGAGTATGTCTCTATGTCTTGCAAGCTTTTGGGTCACTGAAGTAGTTGGAGCTGCAGTTGCTGCGCATCTACTCATAGAATCATTAATATCTAATAGCTTCTCAAGCAGCGACTGGATTTCCATCTCCATAGACTTCCATGATCTACCTGACGCAACAGTTGGTGAAGCAGACTCTACATAACCTGAACCCAAATGTCATCATTATGACACACAATAAAAGAAAAGAATTTATAAGATCAGAGGAACAGCACAGCACACTGGCGAGATAATGATATCAACTCGTTTCTCAAGAGGCACCAACTTACAAAACCAAAAAGCTTCAAATGGGAAGAGTCAAAGGACTAACTGAAGTAGCAGATCGACAATAGCATTAAGCTCCTAGCCAAGTCAAAACAGTGCAAACCCATGAATCAGCAATATCCTAATCCCCAATATTGGCACCATTCGAGTGCCTGAAGTATGCCTCCAAATGGAAAAGCAACAGCATAGCGATTCAAGTACATAACTGAGACTAACAGCAAGGACCCAGACCAGATATCCAATTTAAAAATTACTGCGAAATGAGCCTTCCAGTTATGTGAATGTTGTTGAGTGGCAAGTGAAATTAGGATCCTAGCCCTTTTTACATCTGACTATTCAGCTGCTTCGAATCATACACTCCCCTCCCCCCAGTAGGTCTAATCCGAAGAACATGGCACAGAATCAAAAGATAAACTGTCGGAGAGCCGCTACAGTAAAATACAAAGAGGACCCTCCAGCTGATTTTCAGTTCCGGCCAAGCGAATTAATCCGGAGCTTAAACTAGCGAAAACCCCACAGTTCCACTTTCTGTTTACAACTCTACAAAATGGAAACAACTACAACAACAATCAATTCCGGGAACCTATTGAAGGACCAGAATTCAGTGGATCCAGCAATGTCCCCCAAGATTACGTTGTAATCCGCCATAACCAAAGGGTAGAAATGCATTTGGCCACAATAATAGATCAGAGAATTCGGAAAACTGATGCAACTGAAGCAAGGAAGGAAGGGAAGAAGAAGGGTGATGACCTGCTTGGGTGAAGCGGGCGCCGAGCTTAGCATAAGAAGAGAGCTTGACGTCGAGATCTCCCTCGATCTTACGAGCCTCTCGCCTGAGCTCTTCCCAACCTGATTCCTTCAGTTCCAAACTTGGATCGGTCATATTGCAGAGCGCACGATAGATCCCGCCAGCTTTTCTCTTCCTATTTCAACGGCTCCCTTCTTCTTCTAGTTTATCTTCTAGTTACTCCTGATCTTCTTCCACCCTTCACACATCTTCTTTTTTCGCCCCAATTTTCCCTTCTTCAAAGCTTTGGTCTTGTGTAACCTTGCAAATTGCAATGGTTTAGCAACCTTCATACCGATTTAACGAAATATATAAAATGTAAGAAATTATTATCATCAAATGAATTCAGATATATATAAAAAAAATTGAACAAAATCTACTTATAATTTACATTTATATTTAAATAAATGGTTAATACAATTAAAAACCCCCGAACTATCAACAAAGTATCATTTGTATCCCAAACTATTCAATATTTCATTTATATCCCAACGTATGATAGTTGTGTGTCATTTATGTCCTAACGATTTTATTAACTTTAATAGAAAATGGTTGATCAGATGGTGGTCAACTTGATGTTGACTTAGAAGCGAATCGACGAAGCGATTAAGATTATTTGGGAATTTTTGTAACTTTTTAATTTTTAATTTTATTATTTTAATCATTTTAGATGAAAATATAAATACAAATTAATATTTAAAATTTCATATCAGATGCCACATCGACACTGGCTGAATTTTTTGTTAGATACTTACTGACTCGATCAATGCTAACGGGAAAATATTTCAAGACATAAATGTCATATTGAATAGTTCATGACACAACTAACACTTTCTTGATAGTTCGGGTTTCCCAGTGGTATTAGCCCTTTAATAAAATACAACATTTCAAACAAAATAACAAATACTCATATTTAAATACATCATCTAACGTTAATATCCAAATATTTATACTTGAATCCTTTAAATAATATCAACATTTAACTTTCAAATTCATGAAATAAATCACAAATTAATTGTTTTTTTAATTGAATTCACAGAACAGTATCATTTTGTTTAGAGGTCGGAAATTGATCATGTCTGTCATAACAGTAGTATTCCAGCCAGTTTAATACTCGACACCAGTTATACCAGGTTCAATCAGCCGACATTCTACCGATGTGACAACTGACAACCATGGTGAAGAGTAGGGGCATGCATTCGGTTGGTTTGGTCAAAATTGAACCGAACCCGATCAAACTCGATCCTTAATACTCCTCTAATAGAGATAAAGTTCGAACAAAATTGTAATTCGGTTTGGTGTGATCCAAACCAACAAAACAAATCACCATCCAGTCACAGTTAATAATTCTACACGTGAGATCGAGTACTAAAAATGATGCGAACCAACTCTTAACCCTAACAATGGCAAGTATACCACTGCTAGTCTTGCAATATAGTGGCTCGGTTGTGTTCTCAAGTGAACGTCGATACACTAGCCTACTCCCATTAAGTTCAACTATTATGATATTATCCAAATCCGGAAAAAAACTCCCGAACTCACATGATATGACCAAAAAAAGTAGCTTCAATGCTCTTTTTATACTTTTCTTGATTTCTCCTTTCTTGAACTCAAAAATAAAGAGATACATAATTAATCGGACAATCCCAACTCATGACAAAGGGCAATTGGTATATTAAACCAATCTAAGAGAATCAACTCGTGAAAATGGGCAATTGATATAGGGTAGATGCTTGCGCACAACTAGACATGATCTCTAGTTGATAAGATACACTTACAACCTCCCGGAATCTTCGACAGGATTCTTGCACAAACGTTCACAAAGTAACACGAGTAAAAAATCTTCAATTCATAACTTGAATATTGGGTATAAATCGTAGCTCTTACACCCTCTATTTATAGAGGTCACAAAAACATATAACTAACCTTCTAGGAATAGGAAAACAAATCCAAAACTAAGTAGGAAACATAATACTAATTAAATAAGGACTAAAAATACTAACAAAAATCCTAGACAATTAAAACAATAATCAAACAAATAAATTAAACAAACTCCAACACGCTGCTGCACGCTAGTCTCCATGTCCGCTGCGGAAGACTTGCTCCCCACGTCCCACCATTTCCTTTTCACAAAAGGGCACCAATTTCCCCTTCCATTTCCATGCCATCTACTGTCGTAGTCGAATATTATTTTTGGATCCCGAGAACTATATATGTTGGCGTTCAATTTCACTTGAATAAATTCGAATGTCTTGTTGGTAGAGTCATTTTCACCCATCTTAAATGGTCACAAACTCTCTTTGACCCTCTTAATTCGTCTCTTGGCTCATGATCCATGTGAAGAGATTATTTGACCCCGAATAAGATCAGGAGGGTGAAGCATGATCACATCATATTATCTAATGAATGATTATTTATTTGTTGTACTAAGGAATTGCTAATACTAGAGAAGCAATATGAGAGAAGCAATACTCGAGGAGCAATGCAGTCAAAATCGCGTTTTAAAGTTTAAAAGCTTATACTTTTACACTTCTAGGTCATCACTCACCAAAATGATTCTATGTAGAATCAAATTTTTCACATACAAGTTTAGTCAAAATCTACGCTTAAAATATTACATTTTTATGCTTCTCTGTCAGTAAAACATTTTTACGCAGAATCGTGATTTAACTGCATTGTCGAGGCGAGCTACCCTCACCTTAACTACAAGCAGACATGCAAATGACAAATAAAGAATTTATGGAAATCGTGGTGCGGAGACCACTAAATTGGAGTTCAGTGCAATGACATTATCTCCTGACCCCCCCCCCTTCCTAGTCACCTGCAACGGTCCAATGTCACCACAACCGGCTTGCATGACTAGGGGTGATGATTTACCTCCTCTAAAAGGGTTCTACACATCCACACACAAGTTCTACAAGTCAATGGTCATGCACTTGTGTCATAAAGCATTACCTAGGTGAGCTCCTAGTTGGCAGGAGATGGTCCCCACATCCACCAACTAGGACTCTAAATCAACTATCTTAGGTAAGAGGAATTTATTCACATACAAAGAAAGAAATCACCTAAGGCAACCTAAGGATAGATCATGCTAGAGATTCATTCACACACCCCAAACCAAGATAGAAGCATTAACAACACTAGATAAATACAATTTAACCATAAATTAACAATACTCAATCATTTACATATCAAACCCTAGGTTAGGATTTGGTGCCAAAGCCCTGGGTACATTAAAGTAAGGGTTAATACCTTATTTTGGCCCGAACTATGACCATATAATCAACTTTGGCCCGTGGTTTCAGAAATTAACATCCTGGCCTCAACTATGCAGCATATAGACTCAATTAGCCCGACACATAGTTTGACCGTTAGTCAATATGCCACGTCATTGCCTAGTCAGCCTAAAAATTATTAAAAAATTTTAAATTCAAATTATTTTCCTAATTTCTATTATTTATCATTTTACAATTAACCAAAAAATAAAATTCTAAAAATATAAAATAATTTTTTTGTGATATTTGAAAATGATAAATTTTATAAATTAACCCAAAATTGTCAAATTAAATTTTATAAATTTAAAATTTATGATATAAATTATATTTTGGTGGGAAGTTTTAAAAATATAAAATAATTTGATAATTTTTGGTTAATTTATAAAATTTATCATTTTTCAAATTATCCAAAAAATAAAAAATCAAATTTATTTTATGTTTTTTATAATTTATTTTTGGTTAATTTAATAATAAATTAGAAAAATAATTTGAAATTTGCATTTTTTTAATGATTTTTAGGCTGACTAGGCAATGACATGGCGTGTTGACTAACGGTCAACGGAGTTGACCATCCAAATTGACGGTCAAACTATGTGTCGGGCCAATTGAGTCTATATGCTGCATAGTTGAGGCCAGGATGTTAATTTCTGAAACCACGGGCCAAAGTTGATTATATGGTCATAGTTCGGGCCAAAATAAGGTATTAACCCTTAAAGTAATACCCCATGAAGGGCAGGGGGAGAAGTCAGAACAGCCATGCAAAAAGGAAAAAATCATATAAAAAATCTTCTCCTTGTGTAGAAAATCCTCCTCCAAGCTTCTCCTTCTTTTCTTCTTCTCATCTTCTCTAGGAGACAAATATCTCTCTCTTACCTCTCTCTATAGTTTTTGAAAGGGTTAATAGCATTTTATAACCTTTTACTATTGCGAATTAACAAACGTACCCCTCTACTAATTTTCTGCACAAACATACCCTTCTATTATTAAAACGTAACGAATATATACTTCCGTCCAATTTTCTGTTAAATGACCGTTAAATGGACGGTAAAATGACTCAAATGCCCCTCATTAACCCATAAAACTCATAATTTCAATTTTAATTATTGAATATCCCTTTAAAAAAAAGCTACGGCGGTCGACGGCTCCCAAATCCCTACCTTTCTACCCGACAAAATCTTCCTTTCTTCCTCTGTACTCCCCTATTCCCTTATACCAGAGAAATCCGCCCATCAACACCATCGGCTAGCCATCGACACCGGCTGGAGCAGGCTTCAGCGGTGGCAAATCGGCATCTTCCCCACGCGAAGACAAAACAACGGCACTCGATTACCGATTTCTCCCGCAAACGGTTAAAGGGTTAATCTATTCCGGCGTCCTCTTCTCCTCCGCTAGTGCATCCGGCGGATTCTGCGCAGCTTCCCAATCGACCAACATCCGTCCGTCGACCAATCCTCTTTTCCTCAAGGTATTTCCCTCTCCCTCTTTCATTTTTCTGCGAATATGATGAGACTCTTCCTGAGACGAGGTATCTTCCATCGTATTTATCTAGTCCATTTGATGTTGATAAACGTTTCACCATTCATACTTACTTTTGCCTCTACCAACGTAACAGAATAGCCATTACTCATATTTATATTCAATCGTATTCCTTGGACAAAAAGCATTACAGCATCATTGCATCAAATCAATCGAGTTCGGTTTAAGGAGACCAAACCTTACACCTCAAGACAATTCCAAAACAGCAGAGTGGATGGGTAGCATCCGAGTAGAGGGGTGGCCGGACGCCGGAGTCTCTGACGCCGGTGGCCGAATGCACAGACGCAGGGAGAAGAGATCGCGTGACCAACTGCTATTCGCCGGAGAAGAGGGCCACGTCTCCTGTCCGCCGAACCTGCTCAAGCCGCTGTCGATGACAGGTGCAGGACTTGTTGGCCGCAAGTTTTCTCTTGTCCAGAGGAGTTGGGCGCCTTGAGGAAGACAGAATGTTTGGCTGTCGAACTAAAGTTAGGAGTCTGTAGGATTTAATTTTTAATTAATTTGGTTAGGGATAAAAAGCAATTAATTCAAAATTAGGAGTTAATGAGGGGTATTTGAGTCATTTTACAGCTCATTTAACTGTCATTTAACAGAAAATTGGACAGAAGTATATATTTGTTACATTTTAATAATAGAGGAGTATGTATGTGCAGAAAATTAGTAGAGGGGTACGTTTGTTAATTCGTAATAGTAGAGGGGTATGAAATGCTATTAACCCTTTTTGAAATCCCAAAGTATTTTTGAAAATATGGGGAAAACCTTGTATTTATAGGGAATAAAAGGCGCAGACAAGATCACGGCAACTATTGTGAGTTCTTCTTTGCGATCTTCTTCTGCAAAATGTGAACTCTGAACGATGACGTGAGGGACTGCTCTTATGGTGATATCATGGGCCAGACTTCGTGGTCGGAATATGAAGCTGCGACCATGATCTTTGCCACAGTATCTAGTGTAAAGGACTGCGAGACCTTCTATACTCCATGTCTGCAACCTCTTTTACATCATGGTCACTATCATGTGCGCCTACCCTGATATGTTTGCTCCCTAACATCTTTGCGACCGTGATCTTGGTACCTTGGTTGTGATCTTCCATTTCTGCTTCTTTTTGCCTCTTTGTTCCACACACGTGCTTGAAGTTTTTTATAATAACACTCAAATATTGAAATACCACCTAGAAGTTTTTTATAGGCTATCTCTGGATGCTTCAATCCCCATGGAAACACCTAAGCAATGAATGCCAAATTACATCTTTTTAATAGTTATCAAATTTCACAGACTTAGATGTTTGCTTGTCCCCAAGCAAACACGTGACCAAATCATGTAAATCGAAGTTCCTAGCCTCACCCCTTGATTCGTTTCCTAGGAGACAGATCACTAGCTAGATAGAGACATCATCAAAATATTATTGGAGTCGGTATAAACTCCAAGAGGAAGAAGAAGGCTTGATGAAGTAGGAAATGAATTGAGGTGAAGATGGACTTGTTGGTAAGCATGTAGGCCGTAAGGTGGGGCAGGTCAGTACCCAAGGATAATTTAACGCATCATTGGGGTTGGTCACCAACTTCCCATTGTAAGCCTTGTTTCAACAGAGATCTTCCATGAAGCATGGATTGCCATGCCCAAGAGGGGTTGGAGCCTACCGTGATGGAAAACACTGACGTGGAGTGGTTATACCGTCCCTTGAGCACACGAGAAATGAGTAAATTGGGCTTAGATAAAATGCGCCAACATTGTTTGTCAATAACACTTGTTTTTTTTTCCACATAGGGCAATAATACTTGGTTGAAAGACTCAATCACGAAAGCCTAAACGACCCGCCAACTTTGGCTGACAAAGAAGACGATAAGAGACCGATGGTAGACGTCGTTCGACACCTTGTTGACCCCACTAGAAACGGGTGACCAAAAGATTAATATTGCGACAAAGTTCTTTGGGTAGACAGAAACATGACATAGTGCAAATCGGGATAGCAGAAACCACCAACTTAATCAGTGTTTCTATTTCTAGACCTGCCAGGAGAGACATCGTCTCTTCCAACCTTGTAACCGTTTTGAAACCTCGTCCTCGATGTAACAGAATGTCTCTTGCTTGAAGCGGCGAATTATGGATGGAGTTTAACTGTAAACAATTAACGTTGCGAAATGAAATCTAAAAGTGAATGATTAATAAGAACTGAGAAACATTTTCGATGATAAATATAAAAAAAATAATAAAATGAATTATCAAACATGTAATGTAATTTAGAAAAAAAAAAGTTTTAGTACCAAAAATTTGCCTCTCCGCTTCCGGTCTCAACGGTTAGGATGCTGGAGCCTTTGGGAGTATCGGACGGTCACCTCTGTTTCTAGCTGTGGACGTGGAGTTCGAAAATCGTCGTCAGAAGTTGTTGAAAGTGCTGAAATGCCCCAAAAATAAACTAAACAATGAGAAAGAAACCCAAAGAGAATTTGGATTTTACTCCAAAAAATATGAAAACGGTGGTTGTTGAGTTGGACTTGGCTTGGCTGGCTACACAAGACAGAAGAACACACACCTACCCTCCCTCGCCCCCCAAAGCATCACTCTATATTTCTTTGTATATTTATATTTACGTTAAACAGAAAACAGAGCTCCCAAGGCAAGAGACAACCATTAATAGAGGGCCAAGAAGTTTGATCCCTCCACCCACAGATCAAAGGCCGCCGCTCTGAACAACAATGGCGTCAACTTCTTCTCTCTCCCTCTCTAACTCCCTTCTGGCCCGATCCGTTTCCCACCATGCCCCTGCTTCTCATTCCTCAGATCACCGCCCCGGTCTCTGCCTCTCCGCCGCTTCACCGCTCCCCACTTTCTCCGGCCTCAAATCCGCTTCTTCTTCTTCCCCCGCTCAGATCCCCATCGCCGCCCTCCGTCGCCGCTTCCTCCAGCGTCAAATCCGTGCAGCTGCCATTGAGACCCTCGCCCCCGCCGAGACTTCCTTGGTTGATAACTCAGTCAACACCATCAGGTTCCTTGCTGTCGATGCCGTCGAGAACGCAAATTCGGGCCACCCGGGTCTGCCCATGGGTTGTGCTCCGATGGGCCATGTTCTCTACGACGAGTTCATCAAGTTTAACCCTAAGAACCCTTACTGGTTCAATCGCGACCGCTTCGTTTTGTCCGCTGGCCATGGCTGCATGTTGCAGTATGCTCTGCTCCACCTCGCTGGCTATGACAGCTGCAAGGTACCCTTCTCCTTTTGTTTTCATTTCATTTGTTCTTTTCCGTCCTGTTTCGGGTTCCCTGGTCGATTTCCTCTCTTCTTAGCAAGTGGATCTGGCGATCAAGATCAAACCCAAAGCGTTAATCAACTGTTTCCGTCCGCTGAGTCGATTTTTAATTGACTGTTATCTTCTTTTTGATCCTTCTGTAGTTGGAGGACTTAAAGAGCTTCCGTCAATGGGGAAGCAAAACTCCCGGTCACCCTGAGAACTTTGAGACCCCTGGTGTTGAAGTGACAACTGGTTCGATCTTTTCTGCAAACCCTATTTTGTTTCTCATGTATTTTGTGCTTGTTTACCTCTCTGAGCTTTTTCGCTGAGGTGATAGTGATGGCTAACCTGAAGAAATGTGCGTGTGCCTATATGAAGGTCCTCTTGGTCAAGGAATTGCCAATGCAGTGGGTTTGGCACTGGCGGAAAAGCACTTGGCTGCACGCTTCAACAAGCCAGATTGTGAGATCGTTGACCATTACACGTATGGAATCAAACGTTATCGAACCTGGCTTAGATGGTGAAGCTTCTTTGTCATTACATGGTATGCTAATTTGGTATTTTCTTTCCCCTGTCTTTTTTGTTTTGTTTTTGTTTCTGTATAGATACTGCATATTGGGAGATGGTTGTCAAATGGAAGGTGTTGCCCACGAAGCTTGTTCCCTCGCTGGTCACTGGGGACTTGGCAAACTAATTGCTTTGTATGATGACAACCATATCTCTATTGATGGGGACACTGAAATTGCGTTCACTGAGGATGTTAGCAAGCGCTTTGAGGCCCTCGGATGGCACGTGATCTGGGTGAAGAACGGAAACAATGGATATGATGAGATTCGTGCTGCTATTAAGGAGGCCAAGTCTGTTAAAGACAAGCCAACTATGATAAAGGTCCCATATTTTCTAACTATGTTGAGGCTGAAGCCATTCTCTTACTTCCCACCTTTCTGCTTTAATATATACGATATGTCTTCCGCTATTTGCAGATTACTACAACCATTGGTTATGGGTCTCCAAATAAGTCAAACTCATATGCTGTTCATGGGAGTGCATTAGGTGCCAAGGAAGTTGATGCCACGAGGAAGTTCCTTGGATGGCCACACGAGCCTTTCCATGTCCCCGATGATGTTAAGAAGTAAGTTAACTATGTTTTGGTGCATCTGTTGTGGGAATTGGCAATGTCATCCAATGATATCAAACTGCTGCATCTATGTGGCTTTGCTTTTACTTAGGCACTGGAGTCGCCATATCCCGGAGGGAGCTTCCCTTGAATCTGAGTGGAATGAGAAATTTGCAGCGTATGAGCAGAAGTACAAAGAAGAGGCTGATGTGCTGAAGTCTATAATCACTGGTGAACTCCCTGCTGGTTGGGAGAAAGCACTTCCAGTAAGCATTACTCCATGTGGTGCACATTTCATATGTGGTTTTGGGTTGTTCTATCGAGATGCCTTTTTTTTATTGTACAGTTTAGGTTATTCAATCTTGTTATTATACTTTTATTCTTGCTTTTTTCTTGCAGACCTATGCTCCAGATAGCCCAGGTGATGCCACTAGAGTTCTATCTCAGCAAAACATAAACAATCTAGCAGATGTCTTGCCTGCTTTTGTTGGTGGAAGTGCAGACCTCGCATCTTCCAACTTGAGCTTGATGAAGAAGTTTGGAAACTTCCAAAAAAACACACCTGAAGAACGCAACATTCGGTTTGGTGTCCGTGAGCATGGCATGGGAGCCATATGCAACGGCATCGCACGTCACTGCCCTGGGATGATTCCCTACTGTGCCACCTTCTTCGTCTTCACAGACTACATGAGAGCAGCAATAAGAATCTCTGCCCTGAGTCAGTCTCGGGTCATCTACGTCATGACCCACGATTCCATTGGTCTTGGGGAAGACGGCCCAACCCATCAGCCAATAGAGCATTTGGCGAGCTTCCGTGCCATGCCTAATGTCCTCATGCTCCGTCCAGCTGATGGCAATGAAACTTCTGGCGCATACAGGGTTGCTATCCTCAACAAGAAGAGACCATCTGTCCTTGCACTTTCAAGGCAGAAGGTTCCACTGATTGCTGGAACTTCCATCGAAGGTGTTGAGAAGGGAGGATACATAGTTTCCGACAACTCCTCTGATAACAAGCCTGATGTGATTTTGATGGGAACTGGTACGGAGCTGGAGCTGGCTGTTGAAGCTGCACATGAGCTGAGGAAGGAAGGCAAAGCTGTGCGAGTTGTTTCGCTGGTTTCATGGGAGCTTTTTGGGGAGCAATCAGCTGAGTACAAGGAGAGTGTGCTGCCTGAAGATGTGACAGCCAGAGTGAGCATTGAAGCTGCTTCAACGTTTGGGTGGGAAAGGATGGTTGGGAGCAAAGGAAAGGCTATTGGGATTGATAGCTTTGGAGCAAGTGCCCCAGCACCTGTGTTGTACAAGGAACTTGGCATAACGGCACAGGCTGTGATTGCTGCTGCCAAAGAGCTTTGCTGAGCTGCGAGGGCTCCGACTTCTCTGGCCTCTCGGTGGGTTCTTTCGCTTCTGGGTTGACACTTTTGGTTTGAAATAAGACATGGGGGAGTCTCTGCGGGGATTCCTGGGTTTTTTTTCTTCTTCTGTGCTTCTGATGAAGCAGTGGTAGGAAGTAAAGGAAAAGGGTAGAACGAGAGTTTTTCTTTTTTATTGACATATTCTTGAACTGAGGAAGAGTCTGGACTTCGATTCTGTAATATGTCATTATCGTGTACGTTTGTTGCAAGGGAGATTTGGAATTAGCTTCATCTGATGGTTATTTATTTCCAGTCCTTGTGTTGCTGCGATCAGTAGAGGGTAGAGGTCGTAGAAAGGACTGAAGACTATCGGAAAAGGTACTAGAAATGGTTGGCCCGAGTTGCTTCTGCTTTTTTGCGAGGGGGCGTATGCGGGCGGGACCCTCCAAGCATATGCTACCAGGCTACCACCTATCTGCTTCACGTTTCATATGATTGATTATAGGATAGTTGGTCACTACCAAATCTTGGTGCAACAAACAGAAAGGGCTATCACACGAATGGGCTCTTTCTATTCAGTTAGAGCTTTCCTTTCAAGAACGAATGATCATACTTCGTTAAAAACATCGTCCGAGTTGAAAAGACTTACCGCTTAATACATTCATGTGTAATCTATTTCTCTCTATGAGATGTTTATCCCCATCCCAAGCAAGGAGGACGCGTATTAGAGCATCCACATCAATACAATTGTACATGTAACTGTGTTTGTGTTCTATATTGTCCTTTCAATTTTTTTTAACCCATCTCATATTACTTTTATTTATCCACATCAATGCAATTGAAAAAGGATTTGTGCTCTTTATCGTCAACTCAGCTTTTTTGTAATCCAACTCACATTAATCGCATGCACCTCCATCCATGCAATTAATTTGCAAATGCATATGTGGTCTAAATTATTTTTTTTATAAAATAAAAGGTTTGTTTGGTTATTATTATTCATAAATAAAATAATAAATCTATTGTCATAAATTTAAGAGAAAATCATATACTCAACAAAGGAAATTTTTATTACTAATTGATGAATATGTTTTGGTTTTAACGATCAACTAAAAAGAATTTGATAAATCAACGAAAAATCATCATTGAAGTATGAAAATTAAAGGCGATGAGGGAGTTCACGGCCGCGAAGATCAATTACAAGAGAAATGTGAGATGAAACGAGAAGAAAGATTGAAGAAAAAAGAAGCATATTGAGAACAAAAGTCTTTTTAGGGAAACCTGCTTTACTTAATATTAACCGGTGGTAGTTATTACATTATCCAACTGTAGCTGGTCAATAAAGAAAATCGGTAGTCTATCTATCCAGACTACCCTCTCATCCCTTCTCTATGTACGCCATTACCTGTGCTGCTTCATTCCCCCGTCTAGCAACGTGCTTCCAGGTAGCCGTACCCATCAATGAAAGGTGTGGTCTTATACTTCGACATATTGTGCCAATTTCCGAGTATATTGAATCTAATCACGAGAGCTTCTCCGTCAGGCCGAGGTTGTCAACCTCGGGGATGGGATTCGTCAGGTGGTTTTGGTACGTCACTTTGCTAGTTTACTGAAAGGAAACATGATTTCTCGATTGATCGATTGGAAACGTACATTATCCAGTAGACTCAGCTGGTTTTGTACCTGGATTACAGAGAAATAGATGAGAGAGAAAAGGAGGGAAAATCAGTTATATTTCCTAACTGACTAACTATTACATATTAGTACATACTCTATCTAATTACATACAAGACTAATCCTATACATTTGTATCTTCTAAAAATTGATCCTTCGTATCCTTGATACCCCCACTCAAGCTAAACGTGGATTGCTTTCAGGTTGAGCTTGGAAATCAAATCAACGAAGGTGTGGACGGGAAGTGCTTTGGTGAAAGGATCAGCCAGATGCAAGGTAGTTGAAACATGCTGAACCTTTAATTTGTTTGCGAGAACTTGATCTCTGGTGAAGTGACAGTCGACCTCGATGTGCTTGGTTCTTTCGTGTTGAACAGGGTTTTGGGTCATCTTCACTGTAGAGAGGCTGTCATAGTAGATCGTGTATGGCTGTTGAGGTTGAACTGGGAGTTGTTTGAAGAGGGCCGTCATTCATTAGAGCTCTTGGGAAGTGTCGGCGAGGGCTCTGTACTCTGCTTTAGCGGACGAGTGGGAGACAGTTTGCTGCTTTTTGGATCCCCAACAGATGAGTGAGTTGCCTAAGAAAACACAAAACCCTGTTACTGATCGTCATGTATCAGGGCAACCAGCCCAATCAGAATGAGAGAAGGCAGAGAGACGAATGAAAGAATTGTTGGGAAAGAAAAGCCCTTTGCTGTGTTGTTTTCAAATAGCGAAGGAGTCTGTGGGTAGCCAGCTCATGAACTGTGGTGGGAGAATCGACATACTGACTTAATTGATTTACTGTGTAACATATGTCAGGACGAGTATTGCATAGATATTGGAATCGTCCAATCAAAGTCTTGTAGCTACTGTGATCAGTGTCATTTAGTAAGGTTCCTTCATGTGCAGAAAGATGAGTGGCATGTATAGATGGAGCGGTAGCTGGTTTAGAACCTAGGAATCCTGTGTCAGAAAGGAGATCAAGGATGTATTTCCTTTGGCATAAGTGGATGCCTGTTTCAGACATGGAAACTTCCATCCCTAGAAAATATTTCAAGGGACCAAGATCTTTAATAGTGAAAGCAATGTCCAATTGAATTTTTACATGCTTTATTTCTGGCATATCATTGCTTGTTAAGATTATTTCGTCGACATAAACTAGAAGAGCAGTGAAAGAAGTTCCACTGTGTTTGGTGAAAAGTGAATAATCACTATGAGATTTCTGATATCCTAGCTGTTCTAAAGTGGCAGAAAGCTTTGCAAACCACTGACGGCTAGCTTGCTTTAAACCGTAAAGGGATTTGATAAGTTTGCAAACTTTGTTTTGATCACCTGAACTCACTTGTAATCCAGGAGGTAGCTTCATGTATACCTCTTCATTAAGGTCTCCATGAAGAAAAGCTGTGTTAACATCCAATTGTTCAAGATGCCAGTTGTATATTGCTGCTAAGGCTAGAAGAACTCGAACTGTTGTCATTTTGACAACAGGTGAAAAAGTATCCAAATAATCCACCCCAGGTGTTTGTGTGTAGCCTTTGCCCACTAGCCTGGCTTTATATTTATCAATGGAGCCATCTTGTTTGAACTTTAGTCAAAAAACCCATTTGTTACCAATGATTGGTACATTGGGGGGAGGATCAACCAAAACCCAGGTTTTGGTTTTCTCAAGGGAAGCAAACTCAGAGTTGACTGCTTGTAACCATTCTTTTGATTTAGAAGCCACTTTCTAGGTTGTAGGTTCTCTAGTTTGAGTAATGGCTTAGTGCAAATCTTCTGTGGTTAGTACTAAATGAGTTGTAGGATAACATTCCTTGAATTGGATAGGTGATTTTGGAGATGAGACTAGCTTAATTGATCAGGTTACACTTGTAATCCTTGAGTTTAGCAGGTTTGACAATTTGTCTTGTGGATCTCCTGAGGAATGGAGGAGCAGGAGATGTTGAAGTTGATGGAGGTGCATCAGAAGAATTGTCTGATAATGGAAAAATCTGAGGAATAGATGGTAAAGTGGTTTGTGAGGGAGAACTGGTATGTGCCCTTGTAAAATCCAGTTCTGCAGTCACTGTTGGAAAAACTGGTAAAAGAACTTAGGTGTCCTAATTTTGATTTTTTTGATGGAATGGGAAGATGGTTTCATGAAATGAAACATCTCTTGATATAAAAGTGTTGTGAGTGGTTAGATTGTATAATCGATAACCTTTAGTTCCGTGAGGATGTCCAAGAGAATACAGGGATGAGCTCTTATTTTTATCTGAGAAATTTTGGGTGACTGATGAAATTTTGGGTGACTGATGAAGACCAGAAGGGCGTGGTGGAGGGTGAATTCTATGAGCACCTATTTTGACATGAGAACCAGATCCCGGATATGGCGACTAGAGTGGCCGACATCAGATACCTGCCTCCGTCAATGAGGAGATGAACAGAAGATTGACGACGGAGGTCACCGCAATGGAGATTAAGCGAGCAGTGTTTAGTATAGGGGCAACCCAGGCGCCAGGGTCAGACGGTTTTACCGGTAGGTTCTACCATACTTATTTGGGACATTGTGGGTCCAGATGTGATGGAGGCGGTCCAGTCGTTTTTTCGATCTGGTCGATTACTGAAAAGTTTTAACCATTCCTGGTTAACTTTGGTACCTAAAGTGGACGCGGTTGAAACTATGAAACAGATTCGACCAATCAGTCTTTGTCAAATGTTCTACAAGATTATTTCGAAAATCATGGCAGAACGGATGGCCATCATTTTGCCTTCTATTATCTCACTGGAGCAGAATGGGTTTATTCGTGAGCGCCAGATTGTAGATAATGTGCTGATTGGACATGAGATTATGCATTATCTCAAGATCAAAAGGCAAGGGAAAAAGGTTACTTGGCTCTGAACGTTGATATGGAAAAGGCCTATGATAGAGTTGAGTGGCCTTTTTTGTTTGCAATTATGACTAAGATGGGATTTAGTTCCCAATGGATTGGGTGGGTACATGAATGTGTTTCTACAGTAACATTTTCTATCATGATGAATGGTACGCCTACGGGATACTTTAAATCGACGAGAGGTTTACGTCAAGGTGATCCGTTGTCTCCACTTCTATTTGCTATATGTTCCGAGGGATTTGTGGCGCTAATAAGACAGGCCATACAAGCAAGGAGTTTAGTTGGGGTCAAAGTTAATCCTCAGTGCCCCAATGTTTCTCATCTTTTCTTTGCTGATAACTCGTACTTGTTTTTTCGGGCTTCCAAGAGAGAGTGTGAAACTTTGCTTGAGCTCTTGAAAGAGTATTAGGACTTGAGTTGTCAGAAGGTTAATTTGAGTAAATCGGCTGTATGTGTTAGTGAAAATGTGGATCCTCCTGATGCGGTAGAGATGGCGGCCATCTTAGGAGTTGGAGCGATCGGTGTTCAGGATAAGTACCTGTGGATCCCATCACTGGTCCAGTGGTCGAAAAAGGAAACGTTAGATATCTAGAGGAGAGGCTTTTGGCCAAGCTCCAAGGGTGGAAATAGAAAAAATTGTCCTGGGCGGCGAAGGAAGTACTTCTGAAGGCGGTAGCGGCTGCTCTTCCAATTTATGTCATGTCTTGCTTCCTCTTACCAGTGACTTTATGTCGTAAGCTGGATAAGTACATGGCAATATTTTGGTGGGGTCTCTCGATGGAGAAAGATAAGGCTCACTAGGTGTCATGGCAAAATTTGTGCAAGAGTAAATTTGATGGTGGTATGAATTTTCGTCGGTTTGAAAATTTTAATCAAGTTCTTTTGGCAAAGGTGGCTTGGAGAATCTGGAAGGAACCAGAGTCGCTGCTTGCTAGAGTGTTGAAGGGCAAGTATTTTCCACAGGCTTCTATCCTCACTACGAATCGCCGCTCCGGACCCTCTTGGGGGTGAACTATTATTCTCCATGGGAGAGATTTGCTGCTCAAGTGACTTGGTTGGCAGATTGGGGAGGGATCTCAGGTTAGGATCTTGGATTATAACTGGATTCCGGGAATTCGGTCGGATGAGCTTGAGATTAGTGCTTCGGCGCCTAACCTATTGGGGATGACGGTAGATTCATTGCTCATTTCCGGTAAGGGGGAATGGTGTACATATTGCCTTAACCAGTGCTTTTCGAGGATGGCAGTGCGGGCTATTCAGACCATTCCGTTGCCGAAAGGAGAGGTGGAGGAAAAACAAGTCTGGACCTGCGAGGGAGATGGGGAGTACACTGTGAAATCTGGATATCACCTAGGTTCCTAGTGTGATAGGAGATTATAGGATTGGAAGGTTGAGGTCCTCTTCTTTGATATGGCTTTCTGAAAAATGATGTGGGGGTTTCACATTCCTCCGAAGTTGAAATGTTTTTTGTCGCATGTTATGAAACGAGTCCTTCCTACCATGGAAAGCTATAGTGGAGAAGAGTGGTGGAGTGCCAGGTGATGTAGGAATGGATCCCGATGATGATTCTTCTATCTCCGGTGTGTTGGGCGCCCTTGGAGTCTCTGGAGCACATGTTTCTGTCTTGTCGGGTGGCGACAACGTTGTGGGAGAGGTCGGGCTTGTATGTTGGTCAGGTGGTGCAGCCTCCTCCGAAGTTTGCCTTGTTTCTTCGGCGATTTCTTGAGCAGGATGCTAGAGTAGAGAGGGTGGTCAGGTTTGTAGCTCTTTTGTGGAGGATATGGAAGAGTAGGAATTGGGTGGTCTTTGATCATATCCAGTATGGTGTGGATACATTAGTGAGACAGTATGAAGAGCAAGTTCGTGAATGGTTGGCGCTGGTCGAGGACGGTTCTGGGCGTCTAGGCCACAGGCAGCAGCTCCGTGTGCGGGTGGGTAGGTCTCGGGGACAGCAGGCTCATGCGCCCTTTCCATATCTGTGTTATGTTGATGGCGCTGTCTCCTCTGGTTCACATGGTGCTGGGGGGTTGGTAGTTTGTGACGGGTTGGGGACTGTTTGTTTTGTGCAAGGTTTTCATTATGCAGGACTGGTGGATCCATTTCTGGTGGAATTGGTGGCGCTTCGTGATGCGATTCGGTGGTGCTCTTTGAAGGGTCTTGCTGAAGTGAAATTTTATGGGGATGCGAAGGTCGTCATTGAGAAAATTCAGAAGATGGATGTACGAGATGTGAAGGGAGGACGTCTTCTTGAGGAAATTATGCAGATCTGACATCAGTACCGGCGTTTTGAGATGACCTTTGTTGGCAGGAGTAACAATCGAATGACCCATGAGGTGGCTAGGAAGACCCTTTGTTTGTTGCCTGCGGTTGTGGATAGTTTTGATTTTGCAAGATGGTTTGTACGGGTTGTAAACTTTGCTAGCTTTTTGCTTTGATAATACAAGTGATCTATTGGTAAAAAAAATAAAAATAATAGTTATCATTTAACAAAAAAAACTTTATAAGGGCGACGACTTCTTTCCGTTGGTTGTCAAAGCTCCTAATGAACCTAAAATAGGTTTTGGATCTACAATTCTTTTGAACTAGGAAAAAAAAAATCGCACTAAGTTGTCACTTTAGGTCATCCTGTATCAAACTTATACCAATAACAAATACATCGTATTAACCTCATCCGGCCATTAGGCCGGGTTCTGCGCTAGTGATAAGAAAATAGCAAAATCAAGTACCTAAACATCAGTGCCAATAGATATTTTAAACTTTATTCAGCTTCTTGATACTCTGAGCTACCAGAATGTTTACTCAAAGTTGATCTTCCACGCCATTGGGGGACAAACAACAATGTTCATGGCATGAAACACGTACAAGTTACAACTCTTATAGTCTTACCGCGGTGCTTCTTCAGCAGCAAGGCTGACACCAAAAATCACTCCTTGAATCAAGTCTGTTAAATCTTAAAGTTTAAGACAGAATATCTTGTCCTAGTAGCCAGCCCGGTCGAGAGGTTTTCTATCACTTGGAAATTTTTGCAGCCAATTCTCTGACCAGCTTAGCAGCAACCATGCCGGTCATTCCATCAACTGTGTCTCTCTGTGGATTGAATTCCACTACATCTGCAGCCACGACATCGGCTTGAAGGTTGTGGAGGATGTTGAGAACGTCGCGGAAAGTGAGACCGCCTGGCTCTATGTGAGAAACACCAGGAGCAAAGGCAGGGTCCAGACAGTCCACGTCTATTGAGATGTACACGCCTTTCACCCCTTCCCCCAGTTTCTGTTGAACGAGAACAGTTTTCAAAAATTCAAACTTCCGCAATCACTTATGCATAAACAAGTGGAGAGGGAGAGGGAGAGGGAGAGGGAGAGGGAGAGAGGGAGAGAAGAACCAGATTTTCGAGGAACTCTCTATCTCTAGAGAAAGTTCGCATTTCGTACTGTTCTACTCCGAACCTTTTGCCTTGTTCGCGACCTTCCTTCGTAATTGATCTTATGCCCACCTATAAAGACAAGACAACAATCGTGTTGATGTCAATACAAAAAGTTCTTTAGATCAGAAGAACAAAAACTGTTTGCAGGAATAGAAAGACAGTTCAGAAGGGTTCAGGATCTACTTGGAGAAGTCGGCGAGCATAACCCCCTTCCATAATCCGGGCAAATGAAGACGCATGAGAGTATTTATTTCCTTCAAATGAATGATAGATATCCGGGTGAGCATCAAGATGAAGGATATCTACTGGCCCTCCAAGTTTCTCAGAAACAGCTCTCACTACTGGAAACGATATTGAATGATCGCCACCCAAAACCAATGGCCGTAATGGTGCCTGAGGAGAAAGTATAGTTCAAGTTCATCAAATACAAACGCAAGGTGGAAAGGAAATTGCACCAGCATTGCTCTGCAGAAAAAACCAAATCACATGTTCGAATAATGAGGCCTTTTTGAAGAAAATGTTAGGCATCAACATCATGAATTTTCCGCCTGAAGAGAAAGTACAGTTCAAGCTCGTCCAATTCAAACGCAAGATGGAAAAGAAATAACACCAGCATTGCTCTGCAGGTAAAACCAAATCATGAAGCCTTTCTGAGGAAAAAGGTTTGATTAGGGAGCATTATCATAACTTTTGCATGCTAATATTACTTGAAACGCAGGCCATAAAGACTGATATATGCTCTTATTATGGAAATAGAATCAGGAAGGGTAAGATCAATCACCTCTTCCATCACAAGCTTGACAGAGTCGCTGATGACATTCATTAACCTGTCGTCATTCACACCACAATCTCTGATCTCTTGCACAGGGACATCACCAACATCAGTCAGAACCCGTGGATCGTGCAATTCTTTCCCTGCATTTAGCCCACAAACCACATCATCTCGCACGAACATTTCTAACCAACAAACAGTCTACAATACTTTCCAGATGAGACTCAACGAGCAAGCAACAGAAGAATTAAGTATTCACTTTGGAGCTACCAGTCCCTAATGAGTTCCGACTCCTATGAGATGAGTAGTAAAAGTTGAGGGAATGGATATCAGGGGTGACGAGGGCTAGCAAAAATTCCAGCCCTCCCCCCCTGTAGTTCCACAATCCTCAACAAGAGATTTAGACATCACATAACTGCCAAATGATGTGTGTTGAAGAACTAAGAATTCTAGATCAACAAATTCCTTAAATCACTAGAAGCAAAAGGGTCTTCTTTGGTGCTTCCACCGATGTAGCAGAAGAAAAGAAAAAAAAAGTAAAGAGGGAGGGTGACTGAGCTACCTTCTTCTGTAGTTGAATTGGTGCTATCACACCATATGGCCTCCCTAATTCGAGGAGGAGCAAAAGCTGGGCCCTGAAGGAATGAAGAGTTATGTCCCAGTGGCACTCCAAGCAGAGAAGCAGATGCCACGACACCTCCCAAAGCACGCAGAAGCTCTGCCTGTACAACAATCCGGCATTCAAACATTACGAACTCACCCTAGCTATAACAGTATTATTATTAATATTGTTGTTGTTATTATCAACATCTCTCAATCAAACAATACAGCACCGTGATACGAGATTCCCGGCCAAGGGAATGAAAACGGGATCGATTAGAGCGGTACCTTGAGCTTTGCTCTCTCGCGGATTAGAGTGAGGGAAGCGTCTATCACTCGGTTCTGGCCATTCTCGATCAGCTCGTTGGGAATATTGGCCGCTTTCAGCCTCTCCAAATAGTGTATCCCTCTCCGCCAAACCGTCGACATTTCTGAAGCTTGGAAATGGAAACGCACGAGCAAATCGTTAGATTGAATTGCGTACTGAGCCCATCTATCGTGTGGCAGAAGGCTATATATATATATATGAATGAACAGAAGAAAAAAAAACCACCGGTGCGCTTCAATTCTCGCAGCGCCGCCGTCAAGGTAAGCAAAATATTAACGGGGAAAAACCTAAACTCGTACCTCGAGAAGAAGATGGAGAAATCTTGAAAGAGAGAGCGAGTGCGTCCGAAAAGTGATCAGTAACGAACGACTCGTTCTACAGAGCAGGCGGTCAGGTCGGGGAGTGATGAGTAAAATAGGACTGCGGGAGCCAAGCCAACCCAAAAAACAAGAGTCACATCCCACTACTAACTTAAGAAAATGAAGCTACCCTCAAAAGAAAAGAAAAAAACTTAAGAAAATGAAGCACTAGTGCACTACACTACTGTCTAGCATGTTGGCGTTGGCGTTGGCGTTAGCGCTAGCGCTACCTGGGGCGGAAGGATGAGATTGGGAAGGATGAGATCGTCAGTTCGCTTAAAGGTGACGCCAAAACATGGTGATTTGGGGAGTCACCGGACGGCGGGTGCAAAACTAGAATAATAAATAATTGCCCACTCAGTATTCAGCTTTTCTAGGTGAGAAAGCTAGTGTCGCGCACATCAAGGTGTATCATGCCAGGGTTGTTTAGTCTTGTTTTTTCCGAGTAATACCAACTTTTATTCCACCGTAACAAAGAGACAAGCTAAAAAACTATTACATTCTTATAGGAGTCACAAATTAGATCAAGAATATTAATCCAGTTATCCGGTAGGATAGATTTGGCTTTTGATCGTGCAACTCAATCAGCTCTGACGTTCAACGCCCTCGGCACCTCTTTTACCGAAATTGCAGGGTTAGTCCTAAGGATATTGACCATTGTTCTAATCCAGGTTGCACATCTCCAGGGCCATCGAGACTAATTATGATTCAGGGCCTTCACCAGCATCTGACAGTCAGATTGCACTGTACAGACCGATCCATATTCTTGTGCTAATTTAATTCCTTCCAAAAGAGCCTTTGCTTCCGCTTCAATCGGGGTGGAACAAAGAAGCTTTTCAGCTCTCCCATCACACACTTGTCCATGGTGGTTAACCACAACAACACTGATGACTCGATATTTGCACATGTTTCCCCCTTTGTTTCTTGATCTTTTAAGCTTGCATTATCGCTTCTTTGGCCTATTTTACGCTAGGTTGTGTTCCTTTGTCACATTTCAGGTCCTAGCACATAAAGTGAAGCGTAGGCGCAAGTTTCAAGTCAATAGGAGATCAATTGGCGACTCGGGGGAAGAAACTCGGGTATGACTTGAAGAAGGATGGATTTCTACCTCAGTTTGTGACCATATAATCATGTAATCTTCTCATGAGAAGAAAGAGGATGAGACTACGAGCATCTGAGATCAAACGGCACCTGATTTGGAGTCCGAACGAGGGAGAAACGATAAATCAAAGATAGGGAAAAATTGGTTTCGGGCTTCTCTGAGAAACAGAAGGGGGCCCTATCGTGACACTAAAATCCCCGGTAGGGGATTTTTGGCCTTGACAGGGGATTTTCCCCTGTCTCCAGACGTTGCGTGTTCAAAACTCCCCGGTCGTGAACCAAAAATCCCCGGTCGTGAACCAAAAATCCCGGCCGTGACCTAAAATACCCGACAGGGGATTCTGACCGGAGATCGCGAACGCAAGCTGTTAAAAGCCTGTTTTGTGCGTTTTTGCAAGGGAGAGCTGGATTTTGGATCCCAAACACCCAAGGGACGAACCAGAGAGAGAGAGAGAGGGCAATTTGAGGGCATTCTAAGAGTGGAATTGGAGGATTTCTTCGCCTTGGAAGCTCGAGGAACAAGCCCGGACTTGAAGACTGATCATGTGAAGATTCTTACTGCAGTCTCTCTCTTCTCTATGGAGTAACTTCCCTTCACTTAGGTTTTGAGGAACCCTAGCTATGTTTGTTTGATTGGATGATTGTATGAGTACTCTTACTTGATAATCTTGAGTTCATATTCAATCTATGCATGTTTTCATGATTCAATTATGCTTTAGTCGAGATTATTGATTCTGCTTTGATCCTATGAGAGCGAATACCTGATTATGTCAATAGAGCACCATAGATTGATAGTATTGGATCGATTGCTTTAGTCGAGGATTGATTCACTGCTTTGTATCGATTGAGAACCTCTTTCGATAGAGGGAGTCTAGTTCAGAACGCATTGATCGGTTGTTCTAGAGAAGGATACGTCCCTCTAGGCAATTGACTCAAGAGGGCCTTGTTCCTTTAGTCGAGACTCAAGGTCTAGTCAAGGATTCTCCGCATTGTGAATGAAAGTGAAACAAGTTAGAAATCATCAATCATTAATCTGGCTAGCTGTTAGGGGGAATCATACCTAAGTGAGTTCCCAACCTGTAATTAGATTAACTTTAACTGTAGTTTGTTAGAGTAGTTTTTGTTCTTTCATCTTAATCTGGGTTGCTAGATAATGAACTGAAGTTGAGTAATAATAACTCTAGAGACCCGTGGATTCGATATTTATTACTCGGGCCACTATAATGCAGTCCCTTTCATTGGTTACACTTGGCCATTGTTAGGAGTTGTGTCATAGCGAGTCAAGTTTTTGGCGCCGTTGCCGGGGACTTTCTAGATTATTGGGAAAGGCAGAAGTTTGTTACTTTAGCTTTTTTCTTTTCTTTTCTTTTCCACCCTTGCTTTTCACTTGGGTGTTTTTGTTTTTGTTGGTGCAGATCTGAATCATGGATCCTCATGGCTTCTCCAATCATTGGGGGTATCCACCACCGTCCGAGTGGTATTACCCCGAGACCCCCTGGAGCAATCAAGGAGGAGAAGACTATGGATTGGGGTTCCAGTACCAACCCCCTTACTACGGAGAACAATCTGACCCCTGGGCATATCAAGAACAATCTCATTACCAAGAAGACTTTCTCCCACAACCAGAAGGCCCATCGGCGCTGGAGTTACCCATGACGGCCTTCACGCGCCATTCTGCAGAGCCATGCTACACTCCACATCCAGATCCATACTATGAATTAAGGATTCTCATGGAGCAGTTTGCTCGGGACTCTAAGAGACGCAATCTCAAGATGGACCTCCTTTTCTCATCTTTTGCTCCTCCTAACTCTTCATCCCTCCGTGAATCGGAGGAGACTGTTTCGCACTCATCAAAGCAAACAGAGCGGGTTGAGCAAGTTTGTGCACAACTTGCTCAAGATCACCCGTCTGCTACCATACTAGATGAGGAGGAGGAAGAAGAAGGCTACAAGGACATTGTGGAGCAAACAGAAGTTATCACGGAGAGCTCCCGTGAAGGTCATGATCAAGAATGTCCTTTCGTAGCCGACCACCCCTTCCCACATCCCACACCGAGCTTTGAAGAGGTGCGCATGAGTGAGGAGATGCAAGAAGATCTCATGAAAGAAATTTCTTGGCAACTTGCTCTCCAATCCGTGCTAGAAGAAGAAGAGCAAGAAAGGGTGCAGAAAGAAGTTGTGGAGGATGACGAAAGTGAAGCAGAAGGAGTTCTTGATCATTTCCAAGGGGTGATACCACATGAAGAAGAAAGGGGGGTTGAAGAAGCAATTGGCGTCCAGGCTAAGGACGGAGTTGAGGTTGAAGAGGCCTGCACCGGCCATGAGTTACATGTGATATCTCCACCAAACTTCGAGGAACTACTTAGCAAGGACCCATTTGCAGTATCTCTTTGCCAGACCAAGGCCACATCGACATCGGTCCCTCTTGGTGGACGCGATGGTGGCCAATCGATGCTGTCATATCTGGTTTGGGGCAATGAGACGAGAGAAGAGAAGAAGAGGTCTCGAGGGTGGAGACTTCATCTGCATCACGTGCATGAGCCTTCATCACCTGCCACACCACATGCTCGTGACTTGAGACTCCACCTCATCGACGAGAACCTCAACTTCAAGGAGGTTCTAGCATGGACCGAAACTTAGGAGCCATCGTCCGGCTCACGACGTGAAAGAAGCGCTTGTTGGGAGGAAACCCAACCAGTCGGTTTGCATTTCTTTCTCTATTTCACCTCGGTTGAGTCAGTTTTGTTCTTTGATTTTAGAGTCAATAACTCAACCTTTGTGAGATTTTGTGTGGTGTTTGTGTTCTGACCACTCTCTCCTCCTGGAATACACCGCCTGCCCCGTCCACCATCATTCACCCTGGATCTGGTAACTTCGTTCTACCCTCCTTATCTTTCCTCCATTGAGGACAATATCGTGCTTAAGTGTGGGGGGATGTTCGATTATGTATGTGGGTGAATGTTTGGTTGTTTTTGTGCTTGGAGCCTAGTTCACTGTCCAAATTTCGATTTGAGGGCTCCAAGTACGTGTTCCTTGCAATTGCCTGCTCAGTATGCTTTGAATTGACAGTCTCTATAGTAATGTGCAACTTAGGGAGGTAGTGTAGCACTATGGAGGATGTTGATGCATTTAAGAAGTCTCCTTTCTTCTTCATATTGTGTTGGTTGATTGTGTGAATTAGTGATCTTAGGACCCTTGAATTGTGTGGTGTTGTGGACTCTCTACCTGTCATGGACTCATGTATCATGTTTTGAAATAAAAGGTGCTCGAAAATGTGCTTTACAATAACGTCTCCCGTGCGAATAAGGCGAAAGTGTGTAAGGGGAGATGGGAATCCGTTCCCAATTTCCACCTACTACCTCCAGCCCCCTTACATATCTTTCCCCCGCACGAGGCTCGAGACATCCGCTCCTGGCATGGCCAGTAAGAGCCGGGCTCCCGCAAAACCTATGCTAGGTGGGAGCCCCCATTTTCTGAAAAACGGGATGGAACCCTTGAAAAGAAAAAAAAATAGAAAAACAAGTAAAAAAGAAAGAAAAGGGGTTCCAACCATCTTCAAGAAGAAAATAGAGCACCTTAAAAATGTGAGTCCATGATCTTTTGTTTTTGAGAGTCCATTCGTCCACGATTCATTTGTCCTCTGATCACTATTTGCCATGATGCCGACTCGAGACTAGCGTTCTCGCCGAAGAAGCTATGAAGCTATGAGATGACTTGTGCGTCGGTTGACCTCGTAAGCTGCTAAATGATCTAGAAAATCCTCTATCAACGATTGAGGGTCCATTTTGCTATAGAGGTTTGGAGAGCTGCATTGGTTTGAGTTAGTTTTGCTTGGGGACAAGCAACCGGTTAAGTGTGGGGGGATTTGATGACTCGATATTTGCACATGTTTTCCCCTTTGTTTCTTGATCTTTTAAGCTTGCATTATTGCTTCTTTGGCCTATTTTACGCTAGGTTGTGTTCCTTTGTCACATTTCAGGTCCGAGCACATAAAGTGAAGCGTAGGCGCAAGTTTCAAGTCAATCGGAGATCAATTGGCGACTCGGGGGAAGAAACTCGGGTATGACTTGAAGAAGGATGGATTTCTACCTCAGTTTGTGACCATATAATCATGTAATCTTGTCATGAGAAGAAAGAGGATGAGACTACGAGCATCTGGGATCAAACGGCACTTGATTTGGAGTCCGAACGAGGGAGAAACGAAGAATCAAAGATAGGGGAAA